AAGTGGCTGTCGGCACCCCTTATGAAGTTAAACATTCCATAATCTTTCTTTTTTACTCTTACAATAAGCAAAAATTCCATTAAATAATATTCCCTTGAGGAGATGTAGTAATCATGTTGTGAACTCAAATTTAGGGACAATAAGTATTTAATTGTTCGGACTTGCCCTGATATGTGGTTGTCAAATTAAAAAAATTAAAGACTTTCTATGTAAATAGTATTATAATTTATGAGACATATTTGAGACATTTAAACTTAGATAAGCAAAACGCGAAGTGCTATTCTGAGGTGCTAACAATTCATATAATGTAAATACCAACCCTTATTTGATTCAATAAAATTGTGTGTGTATGTATGTGATCACTGAAGGAAAAAAAAAAAACTTTAAATTTGTAAAATGTTTTTAAAATAAATTGGATGAAAAAAAAAGTAAAATGTTTCATTTTATTGAAATTATGAGACTTCTATGACATTTATTATTTCTCATACAATAATGTGTTAAAATAACATTTATAGAAGTCTTTAATAATAATAAAAAAATAATGGCTGAAACTATTAATGTCATTAATTGTTTTTTTCTTGATTCCTGTTATGGACTTGTCTAATTCAAATTTTTTAATTTTTCTTTTAAACATATAATTTATTAAACTTCTTTCATTTTTTTTTAAACACAAGCAATGTAATATTTAATCAGTTAAGAATATATATAATTGGTGAACTATATAATAAAATTTATGAAAACAATGGATAAAAAAATGAAAAAAAATGTATGACATATTTTTAAACAAATGGTTAAAAATTTCTTGTTTTTTCAAATACAGTATATACAAATGTGTGAAGTACTCAGGCCTACAGAGAAAACCAAAAATTGGTAAGGTGGAATACAATTCATAAGTCAATGTGACCCATTACAAATTATAAAAATGCCAAGAATCACAGAAGATTTTTGAAGCAATGGACACAAAATGAAAGTTTGGGAAAAACAATATGTATACCAGATAAAACAAATTCTATATAGATATTAATGAAAATAATACGGGTGTTAAAAATATTTTTGTGCTGAGATAAAATGTATTTGTAAAATTATTTTAAAAATATGGTAATTTTCCACAATCATCATTCCTTTCGCTTTATATTTCTAAGATGAGCAGACTGACCTCGCTACAATTACTGAGAGGAAGTATATATTAGTTTTGGAAATACACTGAAGCTATTAGGAAATTTTCATAAAGATTGTTGTACTTAAATTGCAAACAAAAATTATTTCTCAGCTTTCATTTTAGGAATGCTAAAATATTTTATTTAAATTTTGCAAAATTATTTGTCTATAAATGACTACGTCCCACAGAAACGTCATTTATTATAAATCTAAACTTTAGAGTGCTTCAGAGTTTTCATAACAATCTGCACAAATGTCCTTCTGAACAGGGACATTTTTTTAAAAAGAAAATGACTTTGACTATTCTTACGGTACTTTAAAAGAGCCAACTTTTCAAGTACAATGAATTAAGTGACTTCAGAAAACATTTAAAGAAATAATGACTATGAGCGATAAGAGAAACAAAAACATTTAAGGTAAAGTAAACTTTTCCAGAGCTTAATTTAATCAAATTATCATTTACAGGTGGTTACAAGTTTGAAAATGCTATTGAGCAAAAAGTAATCACTAAAAATTAAGGTAAACACCACTAATTAAATACTGATGATGTGCTTAAAAACATTTCCAATAAAAAAATTTTTTTTAAATGATTCAACAATTAGTTTAAAATAAATACAATATATAATATAACAATGTGCTCTAACTCAAACAAAAATTATTTTTTTAAAATGGATTTTCTTTTTAAATATAATTCAGTTATAAAATATTAACATTTATGATGCCAACTTGGACAGTACTAGTGGTATGACTGAAAGTATATAATATATAGTATAGTTTAATATAGTCACCAATTAAATATATATACTCACACATAGGACACATCCAAGACAGAGACATGTTATACTTTGGCAAGGTGCATATTGATACCAAAGTTTGCCACAAACTGGTGTTTCAGCAGTATATAGAACTTGTATAGGATTATGGTAACGTTAACACTATCATTAGATAACCTGGTCTCAATAGAAATTTAACATACATTTGTTTTATCTTCAAGTAATTATTCTAGTCTAGTTAAGTAGCTACATAAAAGTCTCTTTTTAAAAAAAAAAAGTAATTAAATTTGGATAACTTGTTAAAAAATTCAAATTATTTTTTTAAAATTTGTACCGGTAAGAGATTTTTTAAAAGTTATTTTTCAGTTTCTCCAATTAATCAGTGTAAATGCATTAAATTTATCACAACATAAAAGTAGCTGAGAATATTGAAACAGAATAGTATGGAAATAGTTAAACTCTTGGTGTACACATCAATGCATCTTAAAAGCCCTGTTCCTAAATGATCAGTACTGAAACTATCAGAGGGTGAAAAAGATTTTAAGACTCCTTAAAAGGTATATTTTCAGAATTTGTCTGAGAGAGTTTTAATTAGTTTTCTAAATTAAGCCGAGTCAACTTTTAATCCCTCCCATTGTAAAAGCTCATTTTAGGATTGATGTGGTTTAATTTTGGCATTGCCTCCCTTTAAACCTTTCCCCATTGTAAAAGCTCATTTTAGGACTAATGTGGTTTAATTTTGGCACTGTCTCTTGACCTCAAGTTTATCTCCACTTGGGCACATCAATACAGATGTCTTTTTAATAAAGCGGGTTTCTTAAGTGGAGCATTTTTTATACGCAGAAATTTAACCGAATAGAAACATGAAAAATTCCTACATTCTACTAACACGTCTCCTAAAATTTCACATTAATACCTACTAATGATGCAACTGAAAAATAGTTAGTAAAATTAACTTGCGAGACGTGTATCAATTTTAATCAAGTTAATACCTTAAAGCAGGATTAAAAATAACTAAAGATTTGGGTATCAAAAAATTTTTTTTAAAGGGGAATGTAAATGATATTCTCTTTAATTGCAAAAAAAAAAAAGAATCCACCTAAATGTCATGCTTAATAAATCCAAACAGCAATTTCACCAAGAAAGTATCTATATAGAAATTTTTTTTTTTTTAAAGAACCATTAAGAAACTGGTGGTTAATAAACAACTTTCTGGGGTTGACATAAAAACTGTACGAGTTTATAAAAAAAAAAAAGAATCCACCTAAATGTCATGATTAAAAAATCCAAACAACAATTTCACCAAGAAAATATCTATATAGAAATTTTTTTTTTTTTAAAGAACCATTAAGAAACTGGTGGTTAATAAACAACTTTCTGGGGTTGACATAAAAACTGTACGAGTTTATTTTACCCCCCCCCCCAACACGTAAAATAAGGAAATTTCTAGGGTGTATTGGATATTAACAAAACTACCTGTATTTTGTGGACAAGGTGGAGGTGGTGTGTGACTCAGGTTATTAACCAGGATTCTACAACAAACCAGAAACAGGGTAATGATCAGACTACGAAACGTCTCACAAGGGTGTATCCAAATTACAATCAAATAAATTTTATCATTTATCGGGGAAAAAATAATTGTATGAACATTTCATTTGATAGGAATTTATCAGGTTTTGTAATACATTTTAAGATTAACAAAGGAAAAAAAAAGTGTTAGTACATGAGAATGAAATCTATTACATATTAGTTTTACTTACAATTTCACATATATATATATATATATATATTTTATATATTATTTGTATATATCTGGAATTTCATTTTTTATTGTTATTTACATGTATCACCTTTAAAGCTTGAATACTTAAATGGAAAAAAAATATTTACAAAAATAAGAAAAGAGCGGAAAAAGCAGCAACAGTTTTTAGAAACAAAAATTCCTACCACATAATTCATAGTGCAGATGGCTTAACTGAGACAGAATAAGTGACAAATAAATCAACATGCATAGTCTTAGGATATGTGACAGATTCCTAGTAAGCTCTTTGAAAATCACAAGAATACCAAGTTCTCAATACATAGGAGTGGGATAAAACTCTGAATCATGAAACTGTATAAACATAAAATCTTTATGAAGAATTTAATAAAAACTTGAAATTTAAATAAAATACTGGATTATCTTTTTTTTTCTTCAAATGCAATATGTAAACATGCCGGATGACTAGTTATATCTGAATAAAAAAGAGGTTCTTTGATGTTAAATATTATTAGCTAGAAAGAACATATTAGTTCCCTAGATTATTCAAATGCCATACACACATATAAACAAAAAATTTAGACTAGGAACAAAATTGATGAATACCGTTATGTGCAAACATATGCCGACTAGTGATTTATTCAAATGCTTAGCTAAAATAAGATACATTTCTTATTATATAAAATAAGGTTGAATGGCGACTAAGTAACAAACTATTTTTCAAATGCAAATATACTTCTGATCAACATAAAACATAATTAACAGAAATACATCCCCTTTTTTTTCCCCCCTTCTTCAAAACACAAATAGATTCAAGCCCCACAACCTCCACATCCACCACTTTCACCCCCACCATCAACAACACCCCCATCAACATAAACATTCCCACCAAGATCTCCACCCCCGACACCATGGTCACCACTTCCGCAGTAGAGCAAACTGGCAGACAGATTGGAATGACTCCCACCGCCATCTTGTCCCTCCAGCACCCCGTCCTGTCCAAACCCTACACATTCACTGCCCCCCCCAAACAAGCCTGCATTTATACCTGTTTCACTGTGATCCTTGTAGGACCCGAACCCCCCATAATCTGTGTGGTTCTCGACGGCAGAGGTCCTGGAATCATCCCCATACACCTCCCAGGCACTCCTACCCCTGTGGCTGCTGTCGTTCATCAAATCACCAACATGATCGTCACTACCTCCAAACCCATTGACATGCTCGTCCCCTGAAATATTGTAGAATTCACCATAATATGTATCTGCATCATTTTCATATCCTATGTCCTCAATACTGTCATGGCCATACGAGTTCTCAAGCATCTCATTGCCGTTGCTGTGACCAGCATCAAACACTTCTCGTTCTACATTATCTTCATCATCATCCGAGCACGGTGGGCCGAAGCCTGCACCATCATCATTTTCATCCAACTCAACTTCATCACTATCACTCTCCCCGTTGCCAAACAAGCCTGTCTGGCTGTCTGCATCTAAGTTGTAATCATCTACCTCAAAGACTCCTTCACTCTCCTTATCAGATGCTTCCTGGCCTTCCTCCTCTCCACTCTCAGCATCATTGTCCTCCTCCACTTCTTCTCTAATACTTTCATGAGCGACGCTTACAGCAATGGCTTCTGTCTGCCTCTCCTCCTTTCTCTCATACTCCGCAACACGCAGTAGACTTGTCTGATCTGAAATGCCCTCCACGTCGATTTCGTCATCACAAGGCGCTGGCATCTGCTTCAGCAACTCATCTTCACTACTCTCTTTGTCATCATCACTTTCTTTGATCACAGTCAATGCAACCCCACCCATTCCACCACTGGCTTCACCTTCCTTCACCCCTGCGCTGCTGCTGCTACCACTGTTGTTGCTGCTCCATTCCTCACCCCATCCCGCACTGACCTCAGCTTCATGCAAAATAACGGGCGGTCTGCCATTTTGTTCATACCTCTCATCCTGTTCTCTCTGGCTGCTGCGCATCATACCAGACCCTTCTCCAAACTCTTGCTTTTTTCTTTTGAATAGATTTTTTATTGCATGATTACAAGGAGTTGCTATCAACACTCCTGCTGCAAGTAACAGGGCGATTTCTTCTGATCCTCCCAATCTGGGCAAAGCTTGCTCCTCACTTCTTGAGGATGACAACTGGGGGGCCCAGTTGGACGGGCGAGGCTGGCACAACACATGGATCAAGGCAACACTAAAGATGAGTCCCAGGTTTTCTGCTATCTCACACTTCTCAGAGCTTATCTCAATAAAACCGCTATCAAACTCCACAACACAGTCCCCAATTTCAAACTTGGAGGTAGCCAATGAGTACAGACGGTCAAATGAAACATAATGCCACTTCCTGGTGCTCAGGTGGTAGAATCTAACCTCTAGGTGGCCCTCGCTGCCAGAACCTAAAGGTAAGATGGAAGAAAAGATAAATTTTACACTGTTAATTCTTTTTAAAAATTCATGAAGTTTGAGTTGATCCAGGTGCATCAATGTACACAAGTGGTTCTTAACTTTTTTATTTGTGAGATGGTCAAAATGAAAAGCTCTAATATAGATGACAGTTGCTGTTTGGAATAATAATTTTAATGAACAGATAAAAATGTATATATATATATATATGTGTATAGCATTTAATTCTTAAAATCTAATAAAAATATCAAGTCCAACCTTTTCTACTGGTCAATCGTCTCTGGAAACCTTCCCACCATCCAACAGCCACACCCCAATCTCCTTTGCTACTTTTAATAAGAACTGCCCTCTGACCTTCTTTGGGGTTCAAGGTCACACACTTTTTAGATTCTATAACCTGGAAACACAGTAAGTGAAGCTCTTACAAATTAATGCCACACATGTTCACAATTTTATTTCTGACCGACTTAACACCTTTAAATAAAATATCAAAGGATACAAATTCCATTGATCCAATGGATTTTAAAGAAAGTAAAGACAACATTTATATTTTAAAAAACTCAACAGTCTTTTGATGCTTTCATAAAAAACTAAGACAATGAAACAAATGGGTGGACGAATGGGCTTAACTGAGTAAATCTCAAGTGGGTGGTTTTGAGTTCAATTCCAGCTAAACCCCAGTCAAGCTACCCCCCACCCCTCCCCGATGATGGGAGTCATTTGCCTTGGAAGGCAACTAATCTAAGAGAAAGCTAACTCTGAATTCAAACCAGGAGCTAAGCCAAAATGATCAATAACTTGATCATGGGCCCTCAAATATGAAAACAAAATTTAAAAAAATAGAATTCCTAACTAGCAATAATATTTTAAAAAAACCAACAACTGTTTGACAGATTTAAAAGTTGAATTTACCGAGGATGGCAAGGGTAGCTGATCCCCCACAACCAAATGAGCCACTGCCGTGAGTTTATCTCCATAGAACACATGTATGGCTGACATAAGAAGCGGCTCACTGTGAATCATTCGCACCGTATAAACCACTCTTCTGGTGTGGTTTAACAGCCTGTAAAGTAGACGAGACGTAAGTAAAGCTGATCACAGTTTTCAACCTAATTTTGATAACCACCAAACAAGCGCAGAATGCTAATATTTTGAAACGCGTATAACAAAAGCTAGTACAGATGAGTAAAGTTTGTATAAATTATTAGAGTGTACAAAATATGGTGCCAAAGAATATCTCGGATGAGATAAGACGGCCAACTAGAGACCGACCGAAAGTGATTTTCTGATTTCGTCCGAAACCGAAAAAAGGCCGAAAGTTTAAAAATGACTTTCGGCCGAAACCGAAAAAAAGCCGAAATTTAAAAATGAATTTCGGCCGAAACCGAAGCCGAAAATGAAATATTAAGATATTTTGAAATTCGTTCCCGCATACATTCTGCATACATCGAAAATGATGTGGGAAAGTATAAATATTTACATTCTTTTTATAAAAAAATGAGATAATCGTGAATATTAGGTGAGCGGAAAAAAAGTCACAGGAAAAAATGTAACGGAAAAAAGTCACAATTTTTGCTAGGAAAAAAAGTCACAGGAAATAAAGTCACAGGAAATAAAGTCAAGGAAATAAAGTCACAGGAAATAAAGTCACAGGAAATAAAGTCACAGGAAAAAAAGTCACAGGAAATAAAGTCACAGGAAATAAAGTCACAGGAAAAAAAGTCACAGGAAAAAAAAGTCACAGGAAAAAAAAGTCACAGGAAAAAAGTCACAGAAGCATTCAGCCATCAGATATCATAAATAAATTCTGACAAGAGTTGTGGGATCCCGTAACCTTTTGGGATCCCATATCTTATCGGGATCCCTACCCCACAAGGATCCCGACCCCATTGGGATACCAATTTTGATTGAGATCCCTTTCCCTCAAATAATCCAATTGGGATCCTGACCCCATTGTGATTCCGACCCTAGGGATCCCAGCCCCAATTGGATCCCGATCCCGATTGGGATCACTTTCTCAAAAAGGATGTCATTAGGATCCCAACCCATTGGGATCTCGACCCCATTGTTATCCCGATCCCATTCTGATCCTGAAAGGATCCCGTTTCTAAATGGGATCCTGACCCCATTGGCATCCTTATTCTAAATGGCATCTCATATCCAAATGGGACTCCGACCCCTGTGGGATCCGAACTAATTGAGATCCAAATGGGATCCCATTTCCAAGTAGGGTGCCACTTTCCAAATTGTACCCTTTTCCAAATGGGATCCCGATCCCACTAGGATCCCGCTTCCCGGAAGGATCCTTTTCTCCGATGGGATCCCGTTTGCCGCAGGATCCCTATTTGATCCCGTCACTAAGTTTGGTCAAGATCCACCTATTTATGCAGGAGTATTTGTGGTTAATTTTATTTATAAAGCTCATATAAGAAAAAAAAAACGATTCCGGGCCCCCGGACTTTTTTTCCTGTGACTTCTTTTCCTACATATCGATATATAGGGGTCTCAAATTCGCGGCCCGCGAGCCTTTTGTGACCCTCAAGACGATATTTTGCGGCCCGCTTCATGACAGAAAAGTTTAGTGTAAATGCGCCGGCCCGTTTCCCCCATTCTCATATCTATAACGTGACTCTCCGCGACGGTTTCAGTCGAATCTCACCGACTAGTCTAATTCTGATTTTTTTGGTAGTGTTGCTATGTATTTTTGTATGCAACAGTGAGTAGGTGGATGAAAGTGAATCCTAGTTTTTGAGAACCCTTAATGATTTCATTGTTATTTATAAAAGTTGAGCAGATTTTAACAGTTGTAATCGCTTTTTTGTGGATTACTTGATGCGGCCCACTCTCATTCAGACACTACCTCCTCCCCCCCCCCCCCCTCGATGATTTGAGTTTGAGACCTTTGATCTAATGAATACTTTGGATTTTACCATTTTAATTTTAATATAAAAGTAATTTAAATTGCTTTACAACTTTTTAAAATTAGTATGGTAGGAAAAAATTTGGCAAAAATTGAGGGGGGGGGGGAATTGATGCAAAATATTTTTTTTTTAAACCGGGTCTCTAAAAATTGTGGTTGTAAAGGATTGCTTAATTTGTTTTTAAAGATCGTTTATTTGGTTGTTATTGGTCGGTTAGTTTGTTCTTAAAGATCGGCGAGTTTGTTCATAAAGATCACTAGATTGTTCTAAAATATCGCTTAGTTTAATCTTAAAGATCGCTTAATTTGTTGTTAAAGATCGTTTAGTTTGTTCTTAAAGATCACTTAGTTTGTTGTTAAAGATCGTCCAGTTTTTGTTAATAGATCGCATTATTTGTTCTTAAATATCGTTTAGTTTGTTCATAAAGATCGCTTAGTTTGTTGTTAAAGATCGCTTAGTTTTTTTCATAAAGATCGCTTAGTTTGTTCGTAAAGATAATTGATTTTGTTCCTTAAGATTGATTAGTTTGTTCTCAAAGATCTTTTAGTTTGTTCCTAAAGAACATTTAGTTTTCTGCTAAAGATCGCTTGGTTTATTCTTATAAATAATTTAGTTTACTATTAAAGATCATTTGTTTTGTTCTTAAAGATCATTTAGTTCGGTCATAAAAATCGTTTAGTTTGTTCTTTAAGATCGTTTAGTTTGTTACTAAAGATCGCTTAGATTGTTCTTAAGGATCGCTATGTTTGTTGTTAAATATCGTTTAGTTTTTTCTCAAAGATCGCTTAATTCGTTCTTAAATGTCGTTTAGTTTGTTGTTAAATATCGCTTTCGCTGAATATTAAATGACCGAAAACCTGAGTCACTTTCGGCCGATGGCCGAAAGTCTAAGTCAATTTCGGCCGAAACCGAAGAAAAACCGAAAGTTAACTTTCCTCTCTCGGCCGAAACCGAAATTAAACCGAAAGTCAACTTTTCAGTTTCGGCCGAAACCGAAACTTGGCCGAAAGTGATAAAATGGCCACTTTCGGCGCCGAAACCGAAGCCGAATAAGTTAACTTTCCTCTCTCGGCCGAAACCGAAATTAAACCGAAAGTCAACTTTTCAGTTTCGGCCGAAACCGAAACTTGGCCGAAAGTGATAAAATGGCCACTTTCGGCGCCGAAACCGAAGCCGAAATTCGGTCGGTCTCTACGGCCAACCTTACAAACAGTGTAATCGTCTTTTATTATCTATTTATCATTATGTTGGGCAAATAGTGGCACCATCTACTTTCGATATGTTTGTTTTATTAATATTTAAATCTTCTGATAATGTATTGGCATTTTGTAGAGTATAGGAACTCAGCAATCTACAATAACAACTTCATTTTGCAATGTACCTGGAAAATATTATAAAAATCTCATATGACTCACTCATAAGCCAACCACCTCACATTATCCCTGATATATTTTTTTAAATGAGTCGGTTTTAGAAACCAGTATGTACGTTAAGTTGTAACCACATTTTTTAAAGATTACATTACTTAAAATGAAATACAGTCATGGCTAACAGCTTTTTAAAATAATTTTCTTTTTTTAAAATATACAATGGAATATGAGATACTACATCTTTTTAAAAAAAACTTTACCCAAATTTCCAGGCTGAAGCAAGATTTAGAAATTTAGTATGGGACAAACCATGTACAAGAAACCATGAGCAGCATTTATCAAGTTAAAGATGCACTAAGGTGTTTACATACTTGTGTGATGCAACTGAACAATGGTTGTCAACACCTGGAGGAAGGCGGGGCAATGGAATGGGCCCCCACATTGATTCCCTGTCCTCTGGCATCACACAACTTTGGTAGTCACCAGGCTCAAGCCTAAGTACACACGGACCTAACGCAGGTGCAGGACAGCTCCAAACCTGCAAGCAATTATCATAAACATGGAATATTTAAAAAAAAGAAATTTTTGATCAATTTTTATTAAAGAAGACCCTTAGCTTCAGCTTAAGAAAAGATTGAGCATCTAGAATTACAGCATATTGAGCCCACTCGGTAAGCTTAGTAAAACAAACTGGACCAACAGATGTGTGGCTTTTAAAATTCTACATCAATTTACACCTAAAATACCAAAGTAATCGAGAGTAAATAAGAGTATGTTTTATTTATTTTCTTACTCTGGTTGTTTTTCAGCGGTATTATTTTTTCTGGTACCCTACATCATTCTAGCCTTGCACTTGCACCCTTGTTTTGTATCAAGGTTTGCCCAGTAAATCCATATTATGTCAGCTTGCTATTATTTGTATTGGTTGGCCCGTTTCCCAAACAGGTGGAGGTTTTTCTATGTGGAAATGTGATTTTTTTGCTGACAATTTAGACTTTATATGATCCAGCATATTAGTGCTGTCTTAATGATTGTGCAGACAAGGTAAAAGTTTACTAGAATGAAAAGATTAGGGTAATATTTAAAGTGAAATGGATCTATTGTTAATTGTTTTAAAATAACTTGTCTGTTTAAATTAGCAGAAAGGAAGGTGAAGACATATTAATGATAAATATATTTTTTACAAAAATATTTTTAAAATATTGGCTCTGTTACGCAGATCACCCAAGACAATAATTAAAATACTATCGATTAACATTTTAAAAAACAGTCAATTTCAGCTTACCAGCCCAATGGACATTCCATCACCACAATCAATTTCATCATTGGCTGTTAACCCTTTGCTGTTGAGAGGCTGTATTTTCTTTTGCAGGTCTATCTTTCCTTCACCTACCACATCATTGGTCCCTAGGCACAGCTTTCCTGATTTCTGCTGAAGGCTTGCAATTATTTTGTCGTTGTAGCGAGTATCAAAAGAAAAATGAGTATTCAATCTATGGTCTTCCAAAGTTCTAGAATTACCTTTCACAGTTGCAATATTTTCTGTCACAAATAAAGACCTGTTAAAATTTTGGTAGCCTGTGTTATAACAAAGTTTTAACTTGTACGATTTTCCAAGTGGAAGCCCTGATATGCGAACTTTTTCAATAAGAACATCCACCTGCTTTGTGCATACTCTATAAATATCTTCTTTGTTCATTGCATGCAACTTGGAATTGGGTGGTTCACCCCTATACATGGCTCCAAAATAAGAAAACTTTTCACTGAAGACTTTTCTCCACAAATTTCTTGTTTTGGCCTCAGCTAGTAACAGCTTTGATCCAACACTCCGATCATTGACTGAGTCATCATGAGGAAGTAAACTTCCCATGTAAGCTTCTGTGTCATCTTTGTAAAACACAGGGTGCAGCATGTGCGTGTGCCACATGAGATCATTATCATAACATGGCACAAGAAATACTCCGGGGTTATGGCACTTTAAAAACAGAAACTTCTTATAACGGTGCAAAGCATTGTTCAAAAATTTCTCATCTCTGTAGTGAGGAAGACTCACCTGATAGTAGAATGACTTTTGCCTTGACACTGCTAATGCTAAATTATATGTCAAGGCAGAAACAAACTCACAATCAAACCAAGGTGTGACAGCATCACATGCAGAAAAAGGCACATCAGCATATTCTTTTCTCCACAACCGTTCTGAATCTTTTAGCAATTCTTTCCGTTGAGATTTTTCCATCAAATGATGATCTATAAGCTTTCCTGCAATATTTTGACAGTCTGTGTTGTATGCTGTTGGTGATAGCATATGACACTGCCATATCCATTCAATGTCAAGTGGGGCAGGAAGTAAACGGCCGGGGTGTTTTGCAACAAGAGGTAGCCAGTATCGCTCATAGCGCTGAATTGCACATTCAACTAGCGGCCCCTCATATAATTCAGGTTTGGCTGATATTTCACTCAAAAATTCCAGAAGAAATCTAGCTGCGTCAGGCAATTCCACTGAAATTGGGATATCATTTGCATCAAATGGTGCCACAGAGCACACTGAACTTGTACTTCCAAGTCTGCCTGACATGGTTCAACTTGAGAATTATTTTCATCAATCTCAAATTTGCATTTTTGGATTGCTCATGAAGATGTTTTGATAGGTGATCCACCATTAAAGTAAAACAAAATCATATTAGCTTGCATCAATGCAGTGACCTGAAATATAAAATTAATCAAGGTTCATTAGAAATTTATATTGAATTTTCTTTTAAATTACCAAACTAAACTTAAGGGATACAAGATTTATATACTGGGAAAATACTTGCATCATCATTGATACATAGACATAGTATTCCCTTTTAAAGAAAGGGCATCCTAGGCAAGGTACTTATTCTAATTTTACATGGTCTCTGCATACAAAGAAACAATTTGACCAGAGAAATGAGGTTTTGCAAGTTGCACCCCAGTAAAAAAAAATGTTAACCTGAATCATGATTTTCTTGTGCTACCCCACTTTCACTTAAAAGCAAATTATTTTTTTTTTTAATAGTCAGTTTCTTACATTTCCAGAAAATGTCTTCATCTTACAGGATGAAAGTTCATGTGCAATGATAAATTTCTGTAATGCATTTGTTCATCATTTCCTATGCCCACAGCTATTGTTTTAGGGATACGGTATCTCATTTAAACCACACTTGTTTTACTTGAAACTTTTTGCACTGATGAATTTCCTTTTTAAGTTTTTCCATGATGCAGGTTCAAGGAAATGTTATGACACCTTTTGATTTTCAGGGTCATATCTCAAAATTGCTGATATATTTTTGTATAAGAGGTATTTATGACAAATGAAAATCAAAAATAAGTTTCAGTATATGTTAATAAAGGTCACTAGAAGTAAGTGAAAGTTATAAAGTTAAATTGTCTAGCTTTCCTCACTTTTAATTTTAAGCCTCATACAAGTGACCATCGTAATTTTCTAAACATTAATAATAATAACTGGGATCTCTTAGTCGTACTGTACTCACTAATACCACTAATAATTCAAATATTATTATGAGGAATTACTTTTCACAATTCTGATCTATAGAATTTAAATTTTTGCCTATAATAAGAATAAAGGTCATCAAAGTAATATAGCTTTATCTCTTAGTTAAATACATTTAATACCATTGCAAATTTTCTATTGCAAATTCAAACCTAACAAACCAATTTTAGCTACTGTACTATTATAACAGAAAAAATAGCCAGACCAAAAGAATTATGCAACTGCTATGTAAGTCAATGTAAACATACCACAAACTTAAAATTATGACTTAACTTACACTTACAGTTACTGTCTATCTATCGAGATTCGACATCATTATAATTATGCATTTTAAATTTACCTACCAAGTATCTTAATCTTGGTGCAGAAAGAGGTAATAACACTAACATTAAATAGGCCTACTAATAATAAATTACTTTAATTATTGCGTACAAGCCAAAGCCGTTGTTTTCTAACTGCATTGGCAACAAGGCTTATCAAAGCAACTCAGATATACTCATACACATACACTCAGTTACACTGATACCACATGATAGGTCCATTCATAGACTTGACTTAGGCTACTGAAACAGTAGAATTAATATCTGAAAAGAAATACTTAAGGTCTAGGATATATATGACTGAGTTGTAAGAAGAGCTACGGCTACAGGCTCGGAGACAACAAGCTAGACTGCTAGCCTAATGCTAGGGCTAGAGTCATGCAGTATACCAGCTATCCTGAGCCTGATCGGCCACTGATCGCTGATCGGGAAAAAATGACGAGACAGAGATGCAAGTATCAGTGAGGTAGTCAACCACCATTAGATTTTCCAAGACCCATTGTACATTGACTCAGTCATACAGCATTAATCAGAAGGTTCATTAGCCCTTAAACTAAAGGGAATAGAGTGATTAAAGTTATTTACTTGAAAATCATTCATTTATGTTATTGACAGCTTCCTGATTTTTTTATGTTTTTTCCCCCACTTCAACATCCGGTTGTTTTTAGTTAGATTCTATACCTTTCGCACTTTATCGACGTTGACAATTAATTTTGCTAATTTACTTACCTCGAAATAAAATAGTTGAAAATTTATAATTTCCATATTTAATTCTTATTATTCGTCTCAAAATATTAAAAATCTTTGATGTTACATATCTGTTTGCTGTGAAAATATTTTTAATTATTCATTAAACCTGGTAAGAGCGATCAATCAAAAATATTATTATTTTCGACATTACAGTCACTATTCACAAATAAATACAACCTACTAACCTCTTCCTCTGCCTTCTTTAAGGCCACTGACAGCCACAGCTATCTACTCTACACTTCATCCCACCCTAAATCCTGTAAAGACTCTATTCCCTTTTCTCAATTAGTTCGTCTTCGTCGACTTTGTCGGTCGGATGAGGACTTTTGGGACAAAGCACTTGAGATGATAGACTTTTTCCGGTGTAGGTCTTACCCAAAGACAGTACTATCATCAGCCCTCCAAAGGGTTAAGATTATTACCTGTGCAGATGCCTTCAGGCCATGTCTGAGCGACAATGTTGACAGGACTAAACTTATTCTCAATTATCACCCTCACAATCTGATAGCTAAACGTGTTTTCCTTAAACACTGCTCTATTTTACTCGCAGACATCGACACACGAGAAAGTTTATCTTCCCCACCTCTCATTTTTTTCAGACGGGATAAAAATCTGGGAGACCTCCTTGTGCGCAGTCGTATCAAGGCTGCCCCCTCTCACTTTGGGACCAAACCATGTGGACGCAGCCGTTGCAACACTTGCCCTTTTGTTGTCCAGACTCAACACATATGCTTTCCTAAGGGCAGTTTTCAGATACGCGTCGGTTTTCTTTTTACAAGCCACAACGTTGTCTACACCATTTGTCTGCACCCGCTGCCAGATGGCGTAAATAGGGGAGACTGGACGCCGACTCTCTGACAGGTGAACCGAACACCTCCGTAACATTACACAAGATAAACAGTGTCCCGTCTCCAAACACTTCAATAGTAGCGACCACTAGGGCAAGATGGACTTTTCAATAAGTGTGATCGTAGCTAGCACAAACACACCCAGCCGGGTGAATTTGGAACACAAGCTTATCCTGACTTATGGCACATTGACGCCACATGGGATGAGTGTCATGTCTCTTTTCACCGCTTGAACCTAGCTCCGCCCTTCCACGTCCCAACCTATCGCAGTGGACTTACTTCTCCTCTTTTATTTCGCTCTTCCCTATTTAATCTCTCATTCACTCACTTTCTGTCACGTTTCTTTTGCTGCCCACGGATACGACTTCTAAGCTAAGTGCTATTTTTTATTTTTTTTTATTTTATTTCCATACCGTTTTTTCTGTTGTTTTGTTCGTTGACGAAGACTTTCTGCCGACAGGTTCATTGTTTTGCTGCGTTCCTTTTTTCAGGGTTAACCCTACTTTGTTTTACTAATTTTATACCATTTATAATATTAGTGTCTTTATTTAAAAAATAAAAAATCGAATCGTGTTAATCGCGGAGCCAGGATCTAAATTGTTGATTCGGTCTACTTTTAAAATAAAAATTAAATAAGCTCTAAAAACAAAGTTTTTCGTCTAAATCCTTTCTATGCTTTTTTTGTTTGCAGTCAACGTAATGCCCCATACCCAAATACGTCACAAATACAAGGCACATAGCAACAGGTATACAATTAATCTCCACACTAAAACATGCACCCTTTGAAAAAAATATCATTAACATTCCTGCCCGCCCCCCCCCCCTTTCTGAAATCAGATTAAAAGCGATTTTGGGGTAGTGTTGTGGCTGAAAATTTGATAGAATGTGTTGTCATCGGCAACAAGTCTATGTGCCAAGTTTCAGTTCAATAAGATGACGGGAAATAGGTCTATTAGCCTTCCCAAGACTTCGCCACTACAAAGAAACATGAACAAAAGCGATTTTGGAGTGGGGGTGGTGCATAGCTCCATGTGGTGGTGAGGCTAAAAATTTGATAGAATGTGTTGTCATCTGCAACAAGTCGATGTGCCAAGGTTCAGCTCGATAGGATAATGGAACGTGGGTCAATTTGCCTTCCGAAAATTTTGCCACAACGAAACACACGAAAAAAAAAATTTGGGGGGGGGGGGGTTAAGGTGGGGGTTGGCCTGAAAATTTGATCAACTGTGTCAACGCGAACAAAAGCGAAGTTAGTATAAAGGATTTAATGAAAAGAAAACTTTTTTTTACCACACTCCATAGACAGGGGCCGCATCATTACCACCCCATCATTACTAACCCATCATTACCACCCTATCATTACCACCGCATCATTACCACCGCATCATTACCACCCCATCATTACCATCCTATCATTAACACCGCATCATTACCACCGCATCATTACCACCCCATCATTACAATCCCATCATTACCACCCCATCATTACCACCCCATCATTACTATCCCATCATCATTACCATTATTAAGACAGTGAACGTAATGTAGAGTTCTCATTTTAAGCAAAACGGAAATCATGGAGTCATTATGGTGAGCAGTATAGCTAATTCAGCAGAGGGGCCGTCCATTAAGTACGTCACGCTCCAGAGGGGGGTGTAAGAAATGTGACAGTTTGTGACAGGGGGGGGGGGGTCAGGCCATGTGTGACGTCCACACATTTATTTTTTTAAATTTTTATTTCTAATTTATTTTTTTTTTTTTTTTAGTACAATTTAATAGCTTTAAAAATATTTTTCAAAAATTGTGCGAAAAATTTGAATTAGTTTTGTTGTCAAAATAGCATGAAATGCGTATATGGTGAGCAGTATAGCTAATTCAGCAGAGGGGCCGTCCATTAAGTACGTCACGCTCCAGAGGGGGGTGTAAGAAATGTGACAGTTTGTGACAGGGGGGGGGGTCAGGCCATGTGTGACGTCCACACATTTATTTTTTTAAATTTTTATTTCTAATTTATTTTTTATTTTTTTTTAGTACAATTTAATAGCTTTAAAAATAATTTTCAAAAATTGTGCGAAACATTTGAATTAGTTTTGTTGTCAACATAGCATGAAATGCGTACCTCCTGAATGTGTTGTTCACGATTCATCTCGCTAGGAGCGCTAGTATGATGTTGCGAAGCCTTGTTTTATGTATAGTCTTGCCGAGATCAACAGGAGTTTTCAAAGTACAACCATATGATCTTTATTGTTCATCTTTGCAGACCACTTTACTTGATAGAATTTGCAAAGTATGTCACTTACACTTTGCCTCACATAAAATGTAGAAGAAACATGCAGGACAACACAGAGCTCGGGCTCGGGAGAATGTGCCAACCCAAACTGTTCCAGAATCAACTCAGATAAAACGCATCAGTCCTTTGAGAATCGCTGCTAGAAGGCAAAGAGAACTCATGGCAGTTATTGCCAGAAGAGATAATGCACATTCAGAGGATGTTGAGTGGCTACATGAGGATGAATTTAATCTGTCTGCAATTATCCTTCCAGGAAACGTTGATTGTGAAAGATTGATGCCAGTCGTAACTATTAATGAACACTTCACTTCACCATCGATGGATGATGTCCAGTGAATATTTTTGAATTAAACATAATTCACAGACCCATAATAAACAGATTCAATATAGCACAAGAGTTTGTCACATAATTTGTCAATCTAGTCTTTTTTAGTCAAATTGTTTTGTTTCATTTTAATTATTTAATCACTGGGTGAAGTCAAGTTTCGCTAATTTACTTCTTATCCTGTGTAAAAAGATTGCATAATCGGAAATTATCTAAAACTTGACCTCACCTTTTGTAAATGAAAAAGCAGCAGATAACTGATGTGTATTATATAATTGTCTAGTCTATTTTTTGCAATTTTTGTTTTCAAATTCAATCTAGATTGAGTTACTGCTTCAATGAATAACTGTGACAACTGTTGACAATTAACTATTCTACTATTTAAGTCATTTTAATAATGTGATAGTTCTTTTAAGTGGAACTTTTACATTTTAATACAATTTAATAGTGAAATATGTTTTAGATTAAATATTTTAATTAGGTGTTAATTTAAAGAAAAATTTCTTCGAAAGTGTGACTCGGGGGGGAGTCCCGAGATTTGTGACAGGGGGGAGGGGGGGAAAGGGTAAAAAATAGCGTGACGTACTTTATGGACGGCCCCCGGAGAGCCTTGACATTTACCCAGTGGCGTAGCTATCTCATAGTGTTAGTGATTCACCAGGGGCGGGACAAGCATTTTCCCCCTCCCACCAAAAACTCTGATGTTGGCCGAAAATACCGCCGCTCAATAAAAAGAAAAAAAAAAATACATCCCGGATCAAAGCGCCCCTTCCGAGTTTCATTAACTCCCATACTTCTTTCTGGAATAAGCATTTATAATGAAGCAAGCTGTTATTTGTGTCAAAAATCCTTGCAACCCCCCCCACCCCCACCACCACACCCTTCCAATACCTTATGTCAATCTGCATTGACGTTTTTATGACGGTCTGTTTATATTTTCCTTCTCCCTTTGCCATGAACTTTTCAGAACGACGCTACTTGCTAACTTCGGCTGGATGCAACTGTGACGCAGCGTACGTCTAAAACTTTGTGTTTGCATTGAATGCAAAGGGGGTTTGGTTTGCTCAAGGTTAGGCTGAGTTCACGACACCACACACTTCAGGATACACCGGGAAAAAGGGGTGGGGTGGGGGCGGGATGGGGGGGGGGATTGAGTCGTGGGTTGTGCGCGAAGCTCTTCTCGCCACGGTCTGTTTAGTGGCGCCACGGTCTGTTTAGTGGCGCTGTCAATCTTCGGCGATGGGATTAGCCTAATGCGTACACGTAGAGCATAATGCATCGATTATTTTGAGTACGTGAGATAACATTTTAGGGTAAGTTAGAATGTATGGTCTATTTTCCATTTAACGTGTCTGTTGTATATGGTGCATTTCTTTTTTTTTTTTAACTGCATCTTGTAGGGTCGTAAGTGTTTATTTGTCTGTCTGTCTATGTGTTTCAGTGTGGGTATTGTTTGTTGCGGTGTTGTAAGAGGTCATTTAAATTTATTTCTTAGCTGCTTCCAAGTGGCGTATTTTAAGTATTGGGTATTTCCGTAGATCCTTGTGAGTTTTGGTATACTAGCACGTAGAAGCCTATTCACGTCCTGGTACATGCATTGCATGCATGGCAGCGTTTCTCAACCTGTGGGTCGCGGCCCCTTTGGGGGGTCACACGAACCTTTCACAGGGGTCGCATAAGACCATCTGAAAACACGTATACTCTACAGTAATAAAGTATCGACGAAAATAATTTTGTGGTTGGGGGTCGCCACAACATGAGGAACTGTATTAAAGGGTCGCGGCTTCAGAAAGGTTGAGAACCACTGATGTATGGTATCCTCTCTTATTACAGCTTCGGGACGTGTTCATATGAGGGTCTCAAAAATATGTTAACTTTCCTCCCCAACTACTCAGTTTAAGTTAACACCAGAGGAGCCATTAACAGCGCGAGGAGGGGAGCCATGCGCCCTGGGTGTCAGTTCAAAAACTTGATACTTTCAACGAGACATAAATGAAACTGGAACACATTTATTTTGCTAATAAAGATGATCTGTCACAAGGGTCACGTTTCTGTTCCAATCACGTTAGAAATTATCTTCTATCGACATTTCTATTGTGGTAGTTCATGTTATGGCACAATAAGAAAACAAAGTTTGTGTTCTTTTTTTTGATTGGGGGGGGGGTATTGGGGTGGGTGGGGGGGAGCGTGTTCATGTCCTTATCATTGGTCCATTTATTGTGGTAGTTCATGTTATGGCACAATAAGAAAACAAAGTTTGTGTTCTTTTTTTTGATTGGGGGGGGGGGTATTGGGGTGGGTGGGGGAGAGCGTGTTCATGTCCTTATCATTGGTCCATTAACTATTTTAATTTTCTAACTGGTTTTGTCCCTACGATCTTAATGTAGAATAGGCCAGGTTTCCCAAGTTGCTGGATAAAGTGCTACCTGGTGCTATCCAGTCTAATCGTTACTACCCCCCCACCCCATGACATTTAGACCAAAGAATTCATGTTGTTACTAGGGGGGATGTCAGCCATTCAGCTAAATTTCATCACATGTGACCTTTTTATCCAAAAGATTTAGGACCACTGGTCTAGACAAACATGGGTGGTATGCAAGTTGATCCTGTTCATACACAGAACGCTGTGTCGCCTCAATTCATTTATGAGCGTATGAACATCAAGAAACGGCATGAAGCTTCATGAAACGTCATAAAACGTCATGAAATTAACATGACACTTAAGACAAGAAATAAATAAAAAAGTTCTCATATAATATAATGAAATGAAAAAAAAAGTCGACTAAGATCGATAATTAAAGAAATAACAAAAATTAAGCATATGCATATATATCCTATATGTATTACAATAAAATACCGTGAAACATTTTTATACTGATAATTGAGAAACATTGAGTAAATCTGTTAATTTTTGACAACATTCATATTTGCCTCATTCTCATATTTAATGTGTCAACATTGATGTAACGAAAATAATAGGCTATATCACTGTATGAAATCTGCTTGATTAAGTATTTTAAGAACTCTACTTAGCAAAAAAGCAGAACAAAAGTCATTGTATAGACCAGTGGTTCTCAACCCTTCCCAATGTCACGACCCTTTCATACTGTTTCTCATGTTCTGGTGACCCCCCCCCCCCCCCCCAAACCATAAAATTATCTTCTTTGCTATTTCATTAATATGTTTTCTGATAGTCTTAGGGCAACCCTCGTGTAAGGGTCGCTCGACCCCCCAAAGGGGTCGCAACCCACGGGTTGAGGACCACTGGTATAGACAGATTGTTTTTCTTTAGCACACCCCCTTTTTTTTTCCCCCAAGCCGAGTTATGTCACAGCGTCTTCTTTTCATAAAAAAAAATTCCTTAACGCCCTTCAAAAGCCTATCAGCTTAATTTATAATCATCCTTTAAGGCTGGTCATAAAAGAAGACCAAACACAACCTACTAAGATTTCTGGGTAAACTCTGAACTGACCAAGATAGAGGACATGTCTTTGATCGGAAAATCCCCGAGACTCGAACCCACACTTGAAGATGGCGTGGCTGCAGACTCGGATTACAACACATACAGAATACAGGTTGGTAAGAGAAGGAAGAGATCGCCCCCCCCCCACACACACACCATAAAGATAATGACCATTTCATTAATTAACTCTTTTTGTATTTTTTTTTTAAAGAAAATTTAGAAAATGATGACAGTTTTTAATTTTTAAAAAAGAAGGGGGAAAAAATTTTGACGATGACTCAAAGTACACTGCCAGTTCTATCCATCCCCAACATCACCAGTATCAACCCCTGACATCGCCAGTTCTGTCAACCCCCAACATCGCCAGTTCTGTCAACCCCAAAACATCACCAGTATTATCAACCCTAACATCACAATTTCTTTAAACTCTATACCATGCCCAAGATCGCTAACCACGTGTGTAGGTATATCGTGCGCTCTCTCCCTTTGTTCCTAGACAAGGGGCGAGTATGAAGAGCTGATGACGGAGTTTGAGTTTCGCTGCAAGCGGTCTGCCATGATCAACAATCACGAGGCGTCCAGTTATGAGAGGATTGTGTATTGGACAGAACTGGTAGCAGCCCTGCTGGGTGAGCCCAGACATCATATATTAGAGTATAATTAGTAGTAGTAGATTGTGTACTGGTCAGTGCTAGTACCAGCCCTGCTAGGTAAGACTGGACATCAGATAATAGAGGATTATGTACTGACACCTGAGTAGCCATTTTGCCATCATCGAAAGCAAATTTAGTTGTAGGCATACAACATTTAAAAAAAAAATAAATCGAAACTAGCATGAGGTAGGAGTGCAAGTTAGTGCTTCAGAAACCAGAGGCGTAGCTAGAGTGTTTGGCACCGGGGGACAAGATTCATTTTAAAGAGCCACCCTTTCTTTTTTCAACTCTCAAACCCATTATTTTCATCAATAAAATATTATAAATGCACATTTCGACGCCCATTAACTAGTCTGGCGCCCAGGGACACCTGTCCTCCCCTGCCCCCTCCTAGCTACGCCTCTGTCAGAAACATAATCTCTTGATTTTTCTATGACGTTTCAGCTTTCTCAAATGTTATACCACGTGGCATCGAAATCAGTGGATTGTTATCCTATCGGGTTGAGTTTAAGGTTTCGGTGGCATACGGTGGTTACCAGTGGCGTAGCTAGTGTTGATGTCATTCGGTGCGGTCCACACCCCCCTAACTACGCCACTGGTGATGGTCATTGAACGTGTTAACGCCGTGGGACTAACATACCGACTCTTTATTTTCTACCAACTCCGCTGAATTATGAACAGTTTCTCGAGCTCAGATTCACTTAATGACCCGCCAATGACATTGCAGTTGTTGTTGTTTTTTTATTACAGTATTAACCACCACCGTTTGTTGTATTAACCACCACCGTTTGTTGTTCTTGACTTAAAACCGAGCTCAAATTTCAGGAGCCGTCTCTGTATCTACACTTGGTATGTGGCTGCTCCACTGGCAGAGCAGCGTAACGTCGCTGGCCAGTTTCGCTCAGCTTGGATCTCTTGGAGTTCTAGGACTGGCGATAGCGTTCATCATCGAGCTGCTCAGTAAGGGAGGGGAGAGAATCATACCATCGTTCAGGTCTGTGAAATGCTCCTCAATGGGTTATTGTTCCTAGTTGCCCACTCTCCCGGATTCTCTCTTAAAAACCAGGGATTTGGACAAGGCTGCGGCTATTCGGACCCGGGTCCGAGAAGTGAGAGTTTTGGTTTATTAAAAAGTATTTAAAAATTATTGTAGGGTTTGTAAGACAAAATTTGGTATCAAATGAAAGATAATTGAATGGACTATATGTCTCTAAACTTACTTCTTAAGTTTAAACAAAATAAACTTCCACAAATGACATCCCAATAGCATTTAGTCAAAATGGAACCGGAAACGCATCGCCGCTATTCGGACCCGGGTCCCTTTAGACTCAATGCTATTCGAGTGTCATTTGTGTTAGTTTATTTTAGTTCAACTGAAGAATTATTAACTTTACAAAAAAACATCTTGTCCATTCAATTATCTTCCATTATCTTTCTTATATTTTAGGTCAGTATTTTATTGTTCATTCCAGTAAACGGGCAGAGGCTCATATAAAGGCTGGAGCTGCCTGGCAGAGGCTGGCTCAGAAAACGAGGTCATACAGGATACAGCTGGACAACCCTAAACTGGACATCAGCACGTAAATTACGTTTCCTTTAGATTTGACAATTTCTGAACTCCCTTCTTTCGCAAAGATGCATAAAGCAGTTTGCATTGGGAGAAATACGTTTCACGTCTATGAAATTCTTATAATTCTGAAGTTATTTTTAAAAACTTTTGATGAATTTTTTTAATTAATTTTCTTTTTTTTGACTGGGGATAACTTCATCTATAGCAGTGGTTCTCAACCTTCCTAATTCCGTGACCCTTAAATACAGTTCCTCATGTTGTGATGACCTAACCATACAATTATTTTCGTTGCTATAGGCCTATATACTTCATACATATGTGTTCTCCGATGGTCTTAGGCAACCCCTGTGTAAGGGTCATCCACTGATTTAAAGTATTAAGCTATACCTGTGGATTTTTATCATTCTTAAATTAAAATTGCGGTTTATTTTTAAATAGCATAGTAACATACTATTTTTTCATAATAAAATAGGTCAGCGTTAAAATTTAATAGATTTTGTTTAAAATGCAGGTTTGCCGAGTGGTACGATCATCTTATTGAACAGAAAGAAAAGCTCAGCTACTCCGTCATCATTGCCCAGTCCACATTTCGGATGTTTGATGACCCTAAAAGGATCTTCACTACTCTCAAACACCAGAAACAGTTATACTTACAGTTTGTGGCTCTTGAAAAAATGGATGTTAAAGATGTGCATGAAAAATACGCTTAAAAAAGTATTGAACTAGAGATTTTGAAGCAAAAATGTTTAACATGTTTTTGAAAAATAATTTGATTGGAAAATGTGTACAAATTTATATTCTATACTGTATACTCTTAAATACTAAAATAATAGTTAATTGTCATAATTTAGTTTCATTTGCTCTAATATTTGAATTTACAAAAAAAGTTAGTTAAAAATACGAAATTCTTTTTTGTTAAATGTACCTTTAACTTTTACTAATTATGAAACCCCTTTGTTTTCAATAAATAAACATTTGAAACAATATTATTTTAATATTTGAAAAAAAAAAGTTTTCTATATTAACTCCCCTTTAAGAATATTATATCGGTTTAATTTTTTAAAAACTTCACATCCTTCCATTTCGGGGTAGCAAAATTGGTTGTACTATTCAGTCTTATAAAGACCTGGGAGACATTGTAATATCGGGTAATACATCTCGAGACCTCTCAGAGACTTTTTGGCACGCCTTGTGCAATTCACCTATATTAACAGCACGTGGCAATGCCCTAGAATTTAACACAATTATTTTACACTTAAGAATAATTGCTGAACAGGAGGGGATAAACTTTCCAAACGTTTAATTTCCACACACTTTACGTTACTGCTCTGACAAGTAAGACATGAAAATATCAAGTCAAAACTAAATGACAATATCAGTTATTCTAGGTAATGCATGATCTTCATATTAGGCCCCTTCAATGCTAAAGAATTTAAAGCATTTTAATGATTATTTTGTGGTTCTCACCGGGCAAGGGATGTCATCTGATAATGGGTTAATCCTAAGCCTGTGAATTACAATACTATTTTGGTGGTCATTGTTATTTTAACACAACCAGAAAAATATTGAATATTACAACAACAAAAACCCCACCAAAAAAGCATGAAAACGAAAAGACAAAAAAATGCATTACTAAAGTTTTGTTAAGTAAACTAATATATATGAAGGGAAATGGGTGAAGTATTATAGCTAAAATAATATCGATGAAGTATCACATATTTGTCACAAGTGGCTGAACATATATTTTAAGATATGTAACATGTCGTGTGAGGACTCAAGTCACTGTTCATCTGCTTATAACGTCAAATATATATTTACATAACTAAGTCATTTACGAAATTAGAAAAATAAGACGGTCATTTAAGTAAATAAAGACTAACATATCACATGCATATGTAATCAGCAAATACTAGCATCTGAAATTCACTGGATGCTTATACTCTGTATGATTTCATTCTCTGAGCAGTGTAGTTAGCTTAATCTGGTGTATTGTAGTTAACACCAGAACGCCTCTTAGTACTTAGCACCAAACGTTTTTACAAAAAGGTGGAAACTCTGAATATTAGCAATTTCGTCATGGCAACTATTTCGACAACAATAGTTTGGGAAAACTGTAATCAATTTACATTACAAGTTGACCGCTTCTCATTCAAATATCAGATGCCCACTTCTCAAGTTCTCATACATGTCATACAAATATCAGATGTCAACTTCTCAAGTTCTCATACATGTCATACAAATATCAGATGCCAACTTCTCAAGGTCTCATACAGGTCATACAAAATTTCATATGCCCACTTCTCATACAGGTCGTAAAATATCCTCTGCCTTCATATACACTGTCATAACAATATAATAATAAGCTGCCAGTTCATGTCAACTGTGGTTAATGTCAACTGCCCTCCTCCACAAAACTGACATTATTAAAATGTTCCCCTCCTCCCTACCACTTTTGTTATCAACCATCCCCGTTCACAATCTCCTCCTTGCCACTCTGCATGTCCAGGTACCTCTGAAAGAGGAGTTTATTTTGTCGGAGGGGCTGCACCACCTCTTTGGGGTCGTCGAATAGTCTCACCGTGGATTCGGGGACGCCGACGATGTTGCTGATCTCCTCCTGGGCCTGGACTAGTTCCTTGTACCACTCCGCGTACTGCACGGCGTCATAGCGGGGATCATCTATTAGAATTCTTAAAAGACGGTTTTTTAAAAAATAGGTTTATGGACAAAGGTTAAACAAATAGAAAATCGGGTAATCAACAGCAACAAAATGTGGAATGTTAAGGCCGATAACCTGCAGCGTTATCCCATTGTACAGTCGCCATATTATAAAGTGCACGTCCGCTGAGACGAGTGCAACTGATAAACGTTTACTTTATTCATATTTCTAGATTCAAGAACCTTGAGTTTTATTATCTCTCTTGAAAGCTATTTCCAGTGGGGAAAAAAAAAGGTGTTATGGACCCAGTTTGTGGTGTCATAGTCGTAATAGAAGTGAAATCTTTTACCCGATAGGTTTATTTTAAATTTGTATCTAAATTATTTTTAATTGATTTCGACCGGGGTTGTCAATAAAATTTAACATAAAAAATTGCTTTTAGGAATGGGTAGATTAACAGGTTGGGGGGGGGAGGGGAGATTGTGCTAACAAACCTGTAAGACTGCGTCAGTCTCGCCAACCGCTGCCAACCCGCCGCGGCCTTCTTGTGCCTGTCCGCCTTGTCGTAGAGCGTCGGCAGCGTCCTGCTCCTCCCTTTCCCGGCAAACTCGAGCACAACGGCCAATGGGAGGCCAATTAAACCAGCCACTCCCAAACGGCTGCCCAGCAGGTTGGCCTTCCTGACGAGACCGATCCCCAGACTGGCCACAGAGCTGACCCCCATTACCTGGTCAGATGAGTGGTTAATTAATGTATATGACGAGAATCTACAGATGTAGAGAAACTGAAGAACATCATAGGGCTGTCCCCATAAGTGAAGATCGATTTCCGGAAATTGTTCCAGAGACAATATTGTAAGTGGAATACTGAAACTATTGAGCTTTTGGATTCTTACCGGTGAAAAAAAAAAAAAATAATAATAAATCACTAACGAATGATAGAAAAGATTTCGTACTTTTAATAAGTCAACAACATATTTTGGGGTTATAAAAATCGAGGTTTCTTCATTCAACCTTGCCTGGTTACAAAAAAATGTTTTCCCATTAATAAAGTTTATTATGCCACTGGATACGGCAGAGTAAATCACATGACGTTAAAAGCGAACCTCTGCAGCGCTCTCGACATAAAAACTTTTCTGGTCATGTCTCGAGGCCTCGTGCTGGTGCATCATGGCCGCTCTCTCGGAAGTGAACTCCATCTCGGCGTACAGCATGTCGTATTCCTTCCACGCCTGCTTCTTGAAGTCTGCCAGTTCCCGGGCGATTGCGGGCCTCTGGTCTTCAGCCATTTCAAATGATTTCATACGCCTTGTCTTCTATCGTGTGATCTCCAGACGTATACTAAAGAAATAAAAAGAAAGTAAAGTTTTCTATTTAGAAAGTTTTCTAAAAAAAAAAAACCTATTAAAATGGAACTTAAACATGGCCGTCTTGACATGGCAGGCCCTGGACGAATCAAGGTACATAAATTTATCCAACAAAATCAAAGTACTATTCTTAGAATAAAATACGAGTACTGCCACTTAACTTCAAATTACCATTACCTGCCATGTGGCGTATGGGTATGACATTGGGTTCTGTTTGGTTTGACCCCACTGTGGCGAATGGATATGACACTGGGTTCTACTTTGTTAGGCCCCCACTGTAGCGAATGGATATGACATTGGGTTATTTTTGGTTTGAGTCCCCAATGTGGTGAACGGATAATATGACATTGGGTTCTTTTTGGTTTGACTCCCCAATGTGGTGAATGGATAATATGACATTGGGTTCTTTTTGGTTTAACCCACCAATGCGGCGAATGAAAATGACAAATGGTTCTCTTTGGTTTGGCCCCCGCTGTGGCGAATGGATATGACAAATTATGGTTCTCTTTGGTTTGGCCCCCACTGTGGCGAATGGATATGACATATGGTTCTCTTTGATTTGGCCCCCACTGTGGCGAATGGATATGACAAATGGTTCTCTTTGGTTTGGCCCCCACTGTGGCGAATGGATATGACAAATTATGGTTCTCTTTGGTTTGGCCCCCACTGTGGCGAATGGATATGACGAATTATGGTTCTCTTTGGTTTGGCCCCCACTGTGGCGAATGGATATGACGAATTATGGTTCTCTTTGGTTTGGCCCCCACTGTGGCGAATGGATATGACAAATTATGGTTCTCTTTGGTTTGGCCCCCATTGTGGCGAATGGATATGACAAATGGTTCTCTTTGGTTTGGCCCCCACTGTGGCGAATGGATATGACAAATTATGGTTCTCTTTGGTTTGGCCCCCACTGTGGCGAATGGATATGACATATGAAGACCATGTGCACAAGGGAAAAAACGGCAGGGGTCACATTTTTGTTGTTTAGAGATATTCGATTTTTAAAGTTCAAAACCATGTACATTAAAAATGTGTAAACAAAATGTAATTTTTAAAATGCATTTCCCAAGAGTGTCCATTTCTCTGAGTTATTATATAGATAAAGTAGCTCAAACTTGAATGTATCATGATTTATTTCATTATAGTAGAGAGTGAGGTCAAAATGGACTCTGCCGTTTTTCCCTTGTAGTAATTTATCAAGGTTTTATCATTGATAAATATCTATTTAAAACTATTTTATAAGTAAATATTCACATTTAAGGGTCATTGGCAAATTACGTCACGCTCAGACGGGATGGGTCGAGAATATGCGACACTTTGTGACGGGGGAAAGGAGGGGGGGGGTGGTCAAAAATTGTGACGTCGCTTTTTTTTTTTTTTACCTCTAAAAGTTTCCAATTCTGAAAAAAAAATCATAATTTAATTAATTTTTAAAACATTAATTTGATGTCAAAATTGCCTCATGTATTATAATATAGGTACCATGAAACTCAGTTTTCTAATAATACTACATCTAAATCATTATGGCAGTGGTTCTCAACCTTCCTAATGCCGCAACCCTTTAATGCAGTTCCTAATTTTGTGGCGACCCCCAACCATAAAATTATTTTCGTCGGTATTTTATAACTGTAGAGGATATGCACTTGCCGATTGTCTTAGGTGACCCCTTTAAACGAATCGTTTGACCCATAAAGGGGTCGCGACCCACAGGTTTAGAACCGCTGCATTATGGGAAAATGTTGAAGAATAAAATAATATCTTAATTTAGTTATGAAAATTGTATGTATGTTTTTAATTTTTTTAGGTGATGTGACACGGGGGGGGGGGGGGAATTAGTGACATTTCGTGACGGGGGGGGGGGGGTTTAAAAAGTTCATTTTTTATGGGAAAATGTTGAAGAATAAAATAATATCTTAATTTAGTTATGAAAATTGTATGTATGTTTTTAATTTTTTTAGGTGATGTGACACGGGGGGGGGGGAGAATTAGTGACATTTCGTGACAGGGGAGGGGGTGTCTAAAAAGGTCATTTTTAGCGTGACGTAATTTAAGAATGACCCCCGCCTTAGTGAAATCATTTTTGTTAACACTAAAAATATAAGAATATGGATCATGCCTAGAACTATCATTAAAAAATATATTATTAATAATTTAACGCGAAAATCAAATTTAAAATCATACTTTCTAAGTTCCTGGTGTGCTTCTTACAATTTTGGCCTAATATTAGTTTTTTTTCTCTAGTTCTAGCAGTAGCTGTAACTGTATGAGTAAAATCCGTAAAGAGTAACAAACCGAGATAGCAAGACAGACACTCGAGGATAGAGTGTTCATGGGGAGTCAGACACAGAGTTAGAGTGACCGGGAGAGAGACATACACTCTAACTGAGATAGGCTGACAGGGAGAGACACAGACAAGGCAACAAACAGTGATAGACTAGACTCTTAGTCACTAGAGCGACAGCGAAAGAGACGAGACAAACACACACAATTAACTGAATTTAACAAAACAACAAGAGTAAAATCTGTTTAAACAGATTTAAGTTATCTGTGGCCATAATGAAGGTGATCCGAAGCAATGCCAACCTTCTTTGACCCCTAACTTAAAACATCGTTGGTGTCTACCGCATACGAACCTGTCGCTTTTTAACGTATCTGTAACATTAATCTTTGATCATATTTGACTAATCACTGTAAGAAAATATTAAATGCTTACACGTGCGTTGTTCTGCTTTTTCCTTCACGCAGCTTGAACGCTTCCTTCATTTATTGATAAATTACTATCTGAAGAAAATCGTTCATCCAACCTCAATCAGATCAATTCAAAATCTTGCCACGACATAGCAGTGTTCTTGGGACTCTAGATCTAACAATATAAAAACGTTGTATCCATGGACTGTAGGATCACACATTTCTGTCACAAGCTCGCAACAATCTTTCATCCAACCTCAATCAGACCCATTCAAAAACTTACCATGACAGTATCAGTGTCGTTGAGCCTCTAGATCTAATATTTTAAAATGGTTGTATCCGTGATCCGTGGACTGTAGGATCACACATCTCTGTCACGTGCTCGCAGTAGTTAACTAGGCCCACTTAAAAAGCAAACATAACTTCTTTTTTTTTTTTTTTAATTGACCGTGCGTCTCAACACACCTGAGTTTTCACGAGCACGTCTCCTGGGCGTGTAGCTGAAATCGCCAACTTTTTGGTTTCACTTTATTTTGGTCCTCC